AGATTACTGCAAAGAGGTGTTTTGGCCCTGCCTTCTCAATGTATCCTATCAGTGGATTACATGATGTCACATGTTATTAAGTTTGAACACTCAGTTAAGGTGATGTCTGTTAGTTTTTATTACTATTAAGTTGAAATTTTTCCCTTTGTAGTTAATAAATACCTTGAGGCAGATACTTTGAGACTGTAAATATTCTCTTCTTGAGCTTTCTCCCTCTGATTTTATCATCCATCTATAGATAAACCAATCGTGATGATTACTGTAGTATTTGAGTACTGATGATTTTATATTTTCCTCATTCCTTCTATATTTGTAAATTAGATTTCTTCTGTAAGGAAAAGCTGTTTTCCTTCTTCTCTGCTTATGTATTCATTTATTTATGTCAATGTAGACTCCTGAACATTTCTTTTATTCTATGAGTTATAGTTCAAACTATTACTTATTTTATCTGCTTAAATTGTTCCAGTTTTAGTCTTGGGAGCTCATTTAGATTGGCTTCTGTTTCCTTTGGAAAAGCCCTCATCCTTTTTCAAGCATGTTCTTATTTTTTGGCACCACAAGATGTTCCAGGATCATCTTGTATTTTCCCTGCCCCAACCCTGGAATCATCTACAGAAACCAGGAGCAGTTGTATCAGAGAACATATTTAGAAGCCAAGATTTGAGCAGTACTATATCATTGCTACTTTGTATCTTGCTTTTAGGCCCTCTTAGCTAGGATACACACACACACACACACACACACACCCTTATTTATTTCTACACGTATCTATCTATATTTGAAAATCCTTGACTTCATTCCATTCCTCTGACTCCAACTCAACACATCCCTTTTTCTTATTTATACCTTCTTTCCCCAACAGTGAGAAACCTGGCTTTCATGTACACTATAGTTATTTGTTCAATTCTAGTGTACACATAATTTCAGAATTGCTTAGAATTCTGAAATGGATTTACTAGAGTATGTATATTTGTTTATAATTCTTTTTACCTTTAGCCTTACAGCATCCAATGAAAATACCTTTTAACATAGTTATTTAGGGGGGCGCCTGGGTGGCTCAGTTGGTTAAGCGACTGCCTTCGGCTCAGGTCATGATCCTGGAGTCCCGGGATCGAGTCCCACATCGGGCTCCCTGCTCGGCAGGGAGTCTGCTTCTCCCTCTGACCCTCTTCCCTCTCGTGCTATCTCTCATTCTCTCTCTCTCAAATAAATAAATAAAATCTTTAAAAAAAAAACATAGTTATTTAGGTAGGCTATTTTCTTTCGTGTTTCCTTATGTGGTTATGTTATTTGTTTGTAATACCATTAGGTGGATTTGTTACTGCTTCTACTCCACTTGAGGGTCGCTCCATATTCTGGTTGATTTTATTTGTTCTTTAGGTATCTGAAACATTACTGTGGGCTCTTAACAGACCATTTTGTGCTCATTTTATACAATGAGCAAATTAGATAAACAGACCAAATTAGATAAAAAGGGTATATACTCAAAGAAGAGTTGCTCCATTAACAACAGACCAAATTAGATAAAAAGGATATATACTCAAAGAAGAGTTGCTCCATTCTCATTTCTGCCACCCTGTTCCCAAATCCCCCTTTTTCCTATCTCTTTTCCCACCCATCTCCTTTAGATAACCAATCTCTTTAGTTACTGTATTACCTTTCTTGTATTTCCTTTGCACAAATGAGCAAATGTGTCTCTATTTTCTTATGATACTTTTTTTTTTTAAGATTTTATTTATTTATTTGACAGAGAGAGACACAGTGAGAGAGGGAACACAAGCAGGGGGAGTGGGAGAGGGAGAAGCAGGCTCCCCACTGAGCAGGGAGCCAGATGCGGGGCTTGATCCCAGGACCCTGGGATCATGACCTGGGCCGAAGGCAGACGGTTAATGATTGAGCCACCCAGGTGCCCCGATGCTTGTTTTTATATGAAGTGTAGAAAGGTAGCATGCCATAGATATTTTCTTGAACTTTTCTCTTTTCCCTTAACAGTATGTACTGGAAATTACTCCACATCGGCCCTAGAGATCTTTCTTTATATGGCTATGTAATACTCCACTATGCAGATGTGCCATAGTTTAATAAACACTCTCCTACTTACGAGTATTTAGACTGTTTCCAGGGGGCGCCTGGGTGGCTCCGTTGGTTGAGCATCTGCCTTCGGCTCAGGTCATGATCCCAGGGTCCCGGATCCTGAGATTGAGCCCCGCTTTTCCCTCTCCCTCTGCCTCTCCCCATTGCTTGTGCTTTCTCTCTCTCTCAAATAATTAAATAAAACTTAAATTAAAAAAAAATAGACTGTTTCCAGTATTTTTCAATTACAAGCATTGCTACAGTGATTACCTGGTGGCATGTCTATTTTTTTAGTTTTAGAAGTGGGATTTTTGCATCCAAAGTTAAGTGCATGTGTAATTTTGTTAAGCATTACCAAGTTTCCCTGCAGAAGGTTATACCAGTTTGTGGTCTCAGCAGCAATGAATAAGATTACCTGTTTTCCCACAGCTGTGCCAACAAAATATGTTGCCATATTTAAAAAATTTTTTTCCAGTCTAATAGGTGATAAATGGTATTGGTGGTGTTTTAATTTTCATTTTAAAAATTATGCATGAGTTGGATCACTTCTTCATGTTGAGAGTTATTTCCATATTTTTTTAAATTGTCAGTTTATGTCTCTCACCATTTTTCTGCTAGAATTTTAGGTCCTTTGTCCTCTAATTTTTAAGTGTTCTTATATATTAGAGATGTTAGCTCTTTGTAGTATATGTTGTGAATACTTTCCAGTTTGTCAGTTGTTTTTTGACTTTGATGTTTTTTGCCATGTAAAAATTTTTATGTGGTCAAATTTATTGATTTTTTTCTTAGAATTATATCCTAACTGGTATTTTACAAATATCCATTTCAGCTAATATTTACTGAGCTTATCATATACCCAGTGAGTACTGGGTACTTCATATCAAGTTAAAATTAAGCAGTGTGGGGGGCACATGGGTGGCTCAAGTTGGTTAAGCGTCCGACTCTTGATTTCAGCTCAGGTCTTGATCTCAGGGTTGTGAGATCGAGTACTGCATCAGTTTCCACACTGGGCGTGGAGCCTACTTAAGATTCTGTCTCTGCCCCTGCCCCCCCTCTAAAAAAATATTAAGCAATATGGGAAAAATTGGAAATAGGCTGAGTTTTAAAGAAGAGATGTATGGTTAGAAAAATTTTACCTATAAAATGAAATACGGGATGCCTGGGTAGTTCAGTTGTTAAGCACCTGCCTTCGGCTCAGGTCACGATCCCAGGGTCCTAGGATCGAGCCCTGTGTTGGGGTCCCTGCTCTGCAGGAAGCCTGCTTCTCCCTCTCCCACTCCGCCTGCTTGTGTTCCCTCTCTGGCTGTCTCTCTCTCTCTGTCAAATAAATAAAAATTTTTTTAAAAAAATGAAATACTATGTAACAAAACTTGTTTTTAAGCATATTTAGTGAAATGAAAAGATACTTATATATAATGTTAGGTTTTAAAAAGCAGCCTCCAAAACTACCTTTGGTATGGTATAGTTTTTCAGAGAAAATACTACCTGTAAAAAAAAAAGTATAGATGAAAGTACTCTAAAATGTTAATAGTGGTTTTCTCTAGGTATTAAACTATGTACGAGGGGCGCCTGGATGGCTCAGTCGGGTAAGCATCTGCCTTCAGCTCAGGTCATGACCTCAGGTCCTGGGATTGAGCCCCATGTTGGGCTCCCTGCTGAGGGGGCAGTCTGCTTCTCTCTCTCCCTCTCTCCTAACCCCATTCTTGCTATCTCTCTCTCTCAATAAAATCTTAAAAAAAAAAAATAGAGTTTTATTTTTTTTCATATTTGGTATAATTTTGAGCAGTTAGCTCACCTCTCTGTGCCTCAATTTCCTCATCTGTCAAATAGGCATGATATTGTAGTATCTATCTTACAGGTCTTTTTGCTAAGGATTTTGTAAGAGGATGCACTTAAAACAATGCCTGGCCTGTAATAAGCTTTCTGCTAGCTAATATTTATTATTACCTTTCTCTACAATAGCCACATTATTCTTGTAAGAAATGTTTTTTAATATTCCTTTCCATAGTAAGTTTTAAAATATGTATTTATATGCTAAGTTTTGAAAGTAATAAATGCTCATTGTATAAAATTTGAAAAATATGTAAGAGCATAAAGAAGGAAAGAAATACTACCAAATATGTAATGTGATTATAAATGGCACCTTATGGCACCTTATGAACTCTTACTTGCCAGGGATCTTTTTTTTTTTCTTTTTAAGAATTTATTTATTTGACAGAGCAAGCGTGAGAGTACAAGCAAGGGAAGCCACAGGCAGAGGGAGAGTGGGGGAATAAATAGATATTCTCCTACTTTCCAATTTTCAAACTTCTGCAAACTGTTCCTTATTTTTTCAGTAGGTGGTTCTCTTGCTAGAGAGTACAAGCAAGGGAAGCCATAGGCAGAGGGAAGCAGCCTCCGCACTGAGCAGAGAGCCTATGCGGGGCTCAATCCCAGGACTCTGGGATCATGACCTGAGCCGAAGGCAGACGCTTAACCAGCTGAGTTACCCAGGCACCCCTTGCCAGGGATCTTAACTATATTTCAAAACTTAAAGTAAACAAATAATATATTTAAAATTTTTAGATACTTGCATCAAATTCAGGAGAAATCAACAGGTTGTTTGCCAGCTTTCAAAAAAAAAAGTTGTCTGGGGCACCTGGGTGGCTCCCTGCTGAGCACTTTCTCCTCCCAGCTTGTGCTCTCTGTCCATATCTCTGTCTCTCTCTCTCAAATAAATAAATAAAAATCTTAAAAAAAAAGTCTGAATATAAATAACGACTTAAAAAGGTGTTATGATCTGGTTTATGTACAGCCTATCAGGATGAGAGCTGAAAATACAAACCAGAGTGCTGTTTGAGTCTTATCCTTTTATTTCCAAGTTACTGCACTTTAAATATATGTTAAAGGCATATTGATAACTGACACATTACTTATATCCTTTCAAGCAGCTCTTCTCCAGTTGTGAGAAAAGAACCTGATGTGCCTGTGTTCTTTCCGAATTCCGAGCTGGCAGAAAATGTAAGCATGTGCTTACAGAGTGGACCAACAGAGGGTGCCAGTAACAGCTCTGTAACATCAGGGGACCCAAAAATTGAGCAAGTAATGCAACCCTTGCCTCATCAACCATCAGATAATCAGAAAATATACCAGGATTTATTGGTAAGAAAATGTAATACATTTCATCTTTTCTGAGATGATTATTTAGTTTAGGGTAGACTAGTTAAGGCTCTCCTATCTTTAAACTGATTGGGACCTTGATATAAAAAGATTTTCCCCAAATTAATGACACATAATTTATTTCTTTTAGGTTTTCATGATTATGATAACCTAAATTTTGTATAAGCATTCCAGTCATCAGATACTTAGATAGCCAGGGGAAAATCTTCAAAACAAAACAAAACAAAGTAAGTACCAGAAAAAATAAGGAACAGTTTACAGAAGTTTGAAAATTGGAAAGTAGGAGAATATCTATGGTAATATTGCATTCAGGTAAGCAGATTTTTACTGAATACTTAGCTTAATCTAAGAAAGTGTACTAAGTAAAGGGGCACCTGGGTGGCTCAGTCCGTTAAGCATCCAACTCTTGGTTTCAGCTCGGATCGTGATCTCATGGGTCATGAGATCGAGCCTTGCAGGGGGCTCTGCACTCAGCCGGGAGTCTCCTTGTGGATTCTCTCCTTCTGCCTTCCCGTTTACCACCTCCGCCCATCTCACCCTGTCTCTCGAATAAATAAATCTTAAAAAACAAAGTGAGCTAAGTGAATAATACAAAGATAAATATGATAGTCTCTGCTCTCAAGAACCTAGGGGAAATAGCACATAGATACCAGTAGCAAACAGTTATAGGATAGGTTGAGAAGTTCTGTAAGCAAAGGCAGCATGGAATAATTCTGGATGATGGAAATAGTCATCTAGTCATCTTGGAAAAATTAGAATGTAAACTAAGACTTGAAGTTGAATGACCCTGTCACTTCCATCCAAACTGTAGACTTTGGAACATCTGAATTCTCCATACTTCATAGGGCCCTAAGTATTCATCAGTGAACACGTAATTGATATTTGCCTGCTGGGTCCTATACTTGTGCTAATAGCTGTGTGCTCAGGGAATGAAATGGGCTCTAATGTTAGGAAGGCAGAGGTAGTATCACGGGTCATTCTCATTCAGAGGGAGAAAAGAGAGGAGTCAAATTCTGAAAGTAACATAAAAATCTAATTTATAACTCTGAAACATTACGATTTTTCACATGAAAGCATGATTTAAAACTTTTGTTTATAGTTACTATAAACCCTTGAAAACACTTGAAATATTACTCAAATGATTTTAAATCTGTTAGTTTTAAAATGAACAAGTTGTGAACACTAAATTTCCTCTAGGGTCTGGTGAAATCATTTGTTGAGATGGGCTTCCTTTATAAAAGTCCCATAATATAAAAAACTTCCAAATATACTTGATTCTTTATAGAATTTGGCTAGATATTATTTTGCTTTTCCCCGGCCTTACTTAAGCTGCTATTTACATTTTTGTTTCCTAAGATTGTTAATAGTGGTTTTTCAAGTATATCTTTTTTCTTTTCATCAGAGTCAAGTGAACCACCTACTGAATAACTCCTCCAAAGAAAATGAGCAGCCATCTACCAAAGCAGTAATTATTAGCCATGAATGCACCAGAACACAAAATGTTTACCATAGAAAGAAAAAAAAAAGTGATTCAGGTCTGGTAGACAAAGATTGTGTTCTTAATGCAACTCTTAAACAACTCAGAAGCCTTGGAGTAAAAATTGACTCTCCCACTAAAGTGAATAAAAATGTCCATAAAGTGGATCATGCCAGGTAACTTTCAAATTTGTTTCATTTGTTTACTTATTTTCAAATTTTTATTTAAATTCTAGTTAATTAACATACAGTGCAATATTGGTTTCTGGAGTAGAATTCAGTGATTATAACTTACAAACAATACCTAGTGCTCATCATAACAAATGCCCTCCTTAATATCCATCACTCATTTAGTCCATTTCCCACCCACCTCCCTCCATCAACCCTGTTTCTTCTCTAAGAGTCTCTTATGGTTTGTTTCCCTTTTTTCTTTTTCCCCCTATGTTTGTTTATTTCTTAAATTCCACATATGAGTAAAATCATATGATATTTGTCTTTATCTGACTTATTTCGTTTAGCATAATACATTCTAGCTCCATCCACATCGTTGCAAATGGCAAGATTTAATTCTTTTTGATGGCTGAGTAATGTTCCACTTTATATATATATACACCACATTTTTATCCATTTCATCGGTCAGTGGACCTTTGGGCTCCATAATTTGGCTATTGTTGATAATGCTGCTATAAACATCAGGGTGCACATACCCCTTCGAATCTGTATTTTTGTATCTGTTAGGTAAATAACTAGTAGTGCAATTACTGGATCGTAGAGTAGTTCTATTTTTAACATTTTGAGGAACCTCCAAACTGTTCTCCAGAGGGGCTGCACCAGTGCTATACCAGTTTGCATTCCCACCAACAGTATACCTCTTGTTTCTTGTGTTGTTAATTTTAGCCATTCTGACAGGTGTGAGGTGGTATCTCATCCTGGTTTTGATTTGTATTTCCCTGATGAGTATTATTGTTGAGCATCTTTTCATGTGTCTTTAGCAATCTAGATGTCTTTTTTGGAACAGTGTCTGTTCATGTCTTCTGCCCATTTCTTAAGTGGGTTATTTGTTTTTTGGATGTTGAGTTTGTTAAGTTCTTTATAGATTTTGGATGCTAACCCTTTATCAGATATGTCATCTGCAGATACCTTCTCCCATTCCGTAGGCTTAGGCTGCCTTTTAGTTGTTTTGTTTTTTTTTTAAAGATTTTATTTATTTATTTGAGAGAGAATGAGAGATAGAGAGCACGAGAGGGAAGAGGGTCAGAGGGAGAAGCAGACTCCCTGCTTAGCCGGGAGCCCGATGTGGGACTCGATCCCGGGACTCCAGGATCATGACCTGAGCCGAAGGCAGTCGCTTAACCAACTGAGCCACCCAGGCGCCCTGCCTTTTAGTTTTGTTGATTGTTTCCTTCACTGTGCAGAAGCTTTTTATCTTGATGAAGTATCAATAGTTCATTTTTGCTTTTGTTTCTCTTGCCTGTGGTGATGTGTCTAGTAAGAAGTTGCTATGGCTGAGGTCAAAGAGGTTTCTTCCTGTGTTCTTCTCTAGGATTTCAATGGTTTCCTGTCCCACATTTAGGTCTTTCATCCATCTTGAATTTATTTTTTTGCATATGGTGTAAGAAAGTGGTCCAACTTCATTCTTCTGCATGTTGCTATCCAGTTTTCCTAACACCTTTCATTGAAGAGACTGTCTTTTCCATCGGATAGTCTCTCCTGTTTTGTCAAGTAATCTATTAGATGCATCATATAGTTGTGTAATAAAGCTTGTTTTAAAAGATGAAAAAATTTTAGGGGACACCTGGGTGGCTCAGTCTGTTAAACATCTCTCTTTGGCTCAGGTCATGATCTCAGGGTCCTAAGACTGAGTCCCACATCAGGCTCCTTGCTTAGGGAGCCTGCTTCTCCCCCTGCTTGGGCGTGCTCTCTCTCTCTCACTCTGACAAATAAATACATTTTTTAAAAAAGATGAAAAAAATTTAGATGTATTGCAGCAATCTTATGAGAAAAAGGTATAAGCTTGCCACTCAATTCAGTTGATTCATCATTTATTCAGGGCCTACTATGTGTGTGATAACAAACCATCTCTACCCTATAGTAGAAGGGTGGGTTTTACATACATAAGAGATATTGTGGGGTGTTGGGTGAAGATGCCAACAAAATGCTCTGGGAGTCTTGGAGAAAGAAATGGACTCTTACTCATTTCTGGTGTTTGGAAGGTCTTCCTGGAGGTGATAGGGTGTGTGTCAGCTACTGGATATTCAGTTATGCAGTTGTACCATCTAAAAGGCAAAAACATTCCTTAGGAATGTGTTTTGAACAGTATAGTCCTACAAAGCTTACTTTTTGCTTACCAATTACAATTAGCCATGTTCTTCTGTTCAGATTCCTCTTCATCAAAGATGATTTAGCACATACTTGTTTTTAAAATCTGCAAATTATATTAAGATTAGCATGTTTCCTGTTAATTATTTTTATTGTTTTCTAGTTGTAAAAGTAATACAGTCTCATGATTTAAGAAAGTATTAAATAACACACAAGAATATCAGGTAAAATGTAAAAGTTCCAACTCCCCAAATTCCTCAATCTGACCTCCCCCCAAGGTTACTTCTCTTAACTGTTTCTTTTGTATTCTGTAGAATTGGTCCATGCATGTTCAAGTGTATGTGGGTTTGAAGAGTATTGCAATTTATTTGTTTTCTTTTGTTTTGTTTGCTTAAAATTATGTCTTTTATTTATATGTATATGCAGTTCTTTTGCATGCATTTAAACAGCTGCATAACATTCTGTTGTACCCATATACTATTAGATAGTGAACCTGTCCTCTGTTAATGGACTTTTAGGCTGAATCTCTTATTTCTTATCTCAAACAATGCTAAGTAAACATAATTCTATAGGAATTTGTATATTTGTTGGATAAAAAGTATATTTGTTGGATAAACTCTTAGAAGTAGGCAGGATCAAAGGATATGTGCATTTAAAGTTTTGGTAGTTGCTGCCATTGCCAGCCAAAATAGTTGTACCAATTCACATTCCTACCAACAGTGTAAGAGAGTTAAGGCTAGCATTTTTGAAGGTTTTATCTAAATACTGTGAGATGGCGGCTACGTAATGCATGTTGGAATATACAAATCACCCTGCTATCTGTGTGGAACAGTGTATTTTGGTGTGGTGCCTTTGCCGGGGGTGGGGGGGAAGATTTTAAGTAATTATTTCTTCAGAGCGGTTACCCAGTTTTAATGTCTTTACAGTGATACATTGGAAATAATAAATTTCTAGTATATAATGAACTTGATTGGTATTTTAGATGCTTTAGAATGAAATGGAAAGTAAAGTCTTTTTGATTTATCAGTGTGGGGTAGTCATTGTTTTAATCAGGATTATTCTGTTCTTTATTTAAATAATAATTTACATTATAAATTTATACTATGAAAAGTATACATGCTCAGGGTTGGTGTTTTAGAAAATGAAGAAAATGTCATTGAACTTATAACATCTGAAGAAAATCAGCTTTTTAAGAAACAGTTGCAGTTTTACTATATATACAATTTAAGAAATGTTTTCTTTAAGCATTTTAATATTGTGATCTTTATCCATTTTTAAAATTGAAAAACTCATGGATATACGTTCATAGATAGGATTTTAACTTCGTATAAGATAATTTTCTCAAGGAAGTGAAAGCCAATATGAAAAAAAATTGTTTTCAGTTCAAAGCAATATATTAAATTAAGTATTTCCATAGAGGGGTAGGCTGGCAAAAACCTAACAGTAACATAGCTATATCTTCATATGAAAAAAATTTTTTTAAGTCATATTATACGGTATAAGTTGTATAAAATATTGTAGAGCTTTGGAAATAGAGTTTGCTATTTGTTTTGTTTTCATTGTCAAGGTAATATAAACTTACTTTGTAAAATATAGGAAAAAACTGTATCCATACCAAACTCATTTATTATTAAAGCTTTACTTTTGTTTTTCCTTTTATTCTTTATCTAAAATTATTTTGTTTTTAGATTTTATTTTTATTTATTAGAGAGAGAGAGAGCATGAGCAGGGGAAGGGGCAGAGGGAGAAGTAGACTCCCCTGTGAGCAGGGAGCCCAGTGCGGGGCTTGATCCCAGGACTCTGGGATCATGACCTGAGCCAGAGTCAGATGGTTAACTTTTTTCTTTGCTATGCAAAAGCTTTTTATCTTGATGAGGTCCCAGTAGTTCATTTTTGCCTTTGTTTCCCTTGCCTTTGGAGATGGGTCTAGCAAGAAGTTACTGTGGCCAAGGTCAAAGAGGTTGCTGCCTGTGTTCTCCTCTAGGATTTTGATGGATTCCTGTCTCACATGTAGGTTTTTCATCCATTTTGAATTTCTTTTTGTGTATGGTGTAAGAAAGTGGTCCAGTTTCATTCTTCTGCATGTTGCGATCCAGTTTTCCCAACACCATTTGTTGAAGAGACTGTCTTTTCCATCGGATAGTCTTTATTACTTTTTCAAGGATTAGTTGACCATATAGTTGTGGGTCCATTTCTGGGTTCTCTATTCTATTCCATTGATCTGTGTGTCTCTTTTTTGTGCCAGTACCATACTGTCTTGATGATGACAGCTTTGTAATAGAGCTTGAAATCCGGAATCGTGATGCCTCCAGTCCAGAATTGTGATACCACCGGTTTTGGCTTTCTTTTTCAGAATTGCTTTGGCTGTTCGGGGTCTGTTGTGATTCCTTACAGATTTTAGGATTATTTGTTCCAGCTCTATGAAAAAAGTTGATGGTATTTTGATAGGGATTGCATTGAATGTGTAGATTGCTCTAGGTAGCATAGACATTTTAATGATATTTGTTCTTCTAATCCATGAACATGGAACGTTTTCCCATTTCATTTTGTCTTCCTCAGTTTCTTTCCTGAGTGTTCTAGTACAGATCCTTTGTCTCTTTGGTTAGGTTTATTCCTAGGTATCTTCGGTTTTGGGCAATTGTAAATGGAATCGACTCCTTAATTTCTCTTTCTTCTCTCTCACCATTGGTGTATAGAAATGCAACTGATTTCTGTGCATTGATTTTATATCCTGCCACTTTGCTGAATTCCTGAATGAGTTCTAGGGGTGGAGTTTTGGATTTTCCACATAGAGTATCATGTCATCTGCAAAGAGTGAGAGTTTGACTTCTTTGCTGATTCAGATGCCTTTTGTTTCT